TTTAAATGAAAAGGTTGATCAGTACTAATTAATCAAAAGAATTAAGACGGACTAGGTGAAATAGAATCAAGTTAGTCTGAAAAATGTGTTTCCTGGCCGCCAACTCCAGACCCCATCGCCGTTCTTTCTTCTCCGATCAGCGCCAGCGCGCTGGCACCAGGGGATTCTCTCTCCCTCTCTCCATTTCTGGCAGCTTCCTCGGCTCAGCGGCGCAGCGAGCCAATCGACCACGATAGGAGTTCCCCTTCGTCGATTCAGCGATGCCGACCGCGGTGCAGTGGCGGACCGGCGGCGATTGTCGAGGAAGGCAGCGACCCTCCAACGCTGGCGACAGTGACAATTTGATACAGGCAGCAGCAGTAAAGCCAGGCGCGACCCTATAAGCTCGAGTAGCAGATTGACCGGCCACCGATGACGGTGTCCGGCGAACGGACTCCAACAAGCGATCTCCCTTCTTAAAATGTTTCAGAAGAGTTGGTAGCGCCTGAGGTCCTACAACTCGAATCCCCCGGTTGTCGCTGGGGGAGATTGTTGGTCTTATGGGGGACCATCAATCACCCTTAGGGATTCGTTATTGTGCTTAGCACGGTATCGGGTATTGACAGCCCAACCTGACGAGGTACATGAGTCGTGTATCTTGCGAAGCCCCTCCTGTCCATCCACCGCTCAGTAGTGGGGCTCCGCACTGCCGTAGTGAACTATAGGGGGTGCCCTATAGGAATCTACCTCGGCTTGGGGCTACAGAGAGATGTGGTTAAATATAAAGTGTCCACCTTCCTATCACCAATTGGTTTTAGAAAGCATTTGGCACCTCTTTAACTTCAGAACTCTGTGGTTAAGCGTGCTGGAACGGGAGTAGTCCCAGGATGGGTGACCCACTGGGAAGTTCCAGAAAAACAATCCTACAAGTGGGCCAAGTCACAGTCGAATATCGTGGGCGCTTGTGTGTTGAATGCACTATAAGGCTAGGGTATGCGCCTCTTCTAACACCAATTGGTTTTAGAAGAGTTGGTAGTGCCTGAGGTCCTACATTCCACCCACCCAACAGAAAACACCTTTGTTGGTTGAGCATGACCCGCTGATCTAGTGGGAACAATCACTCCAAGAAAAGTAGAAAGTACTTTGTCTAGTGTAGAGTTTAAGTACAGATGAATGATGATCCACCATTGCAAGCAACGCTATGTTGATGAGAATGGAAAAAGGTAGGTGTTAGGTATATTATGTGATGAACTGTCTGCGTGAACTGCATGGCATTAAATTTATGTGCATGATATCATGTTATGATTATGAATTAGTGGATTTGCCTATGTGTATGTTTGAATGGTTAGATATTTCTCACTCAGCTTCGTTGCTGAGCGTGTAGCTTCTTTTTCCCCTTGTTACACGTAGGTAATCATGGAGGGATTGACCTCAAAATACATACTAGAGGGCTGCGTGATGAAGGAGACGTACGGATGCAGGGATTAAATAATGTTTGATTAAATTACAAAGCTACCACACTGTTTGTATAAACTCCAATATTTATTTAAATGCTTTGAATTATTTAGTTTTAAATTTAATGTTTTTATTTTTTGAAAAATATTGTATTGTGGATACCAATCTAGTAGCAACCTGGTTTGCTAACTTATTTATTCAGGTTACGCAAGTTGGGTGTGATATTTTGGTATCGGAGCATATGGTTTTAAAATCCAATTTCAGAGCATTGCAATTAATATTTTGGAAATAAATAAGTGAAAGCAATATAATTTGATAATATTAACAATGGCAAAAGTTTTCATGTATTGCATCCGCATCCTCCAGTCCTCCACGTCAGATCTGCCTCCCAGGAAAGTAATAAGTTATTGTCTTATTGCTTAAATGTTTGTATGGAGTTGATTGATCAAGTTACTTGAACTGTATTGATTGTTCGAATAGTTGTGCTAAGCTGATTGCTCAAATACATGTATGAAATTGATTGCTTGAATGTGTGTCAAAATGACTGTTGGAATATCTGTGTTGAGCTGCAAATTGTTGATTACTGTGCATACTGAAATGCGATAGTCTAAGATAGAAAACAACATCTTGTAGATGGAACTTACTCACTATAGGGTGAATGTTAGCAAAAACTATGACAATGAGATGCTAGGTAACAAAAGAAACGAGTATAACAATGTACACATATTAAAATATCTTGTCTAATATTCAGTTATCTCATTGATCATCGAGATGGATATCTTGTTTGATTAATAAAGAAAACCATATTTACCACTAGCACATCATAGTGTAGTGTTGTGGCTGGATACAAATCGAAAGAACATAATGGAAAATCTATCTGGCACACGTGATGTACCGATGTGCCCTGATCGACAAGATCAAACGAATGAAGTAAACTCGAAAGAAACTACAACATCAACATGTAGAAACATGGTTGCCGTTAGCGGACGCAGCGTTGAAGGGTCTTGATTCATTACAAGTCTAATTAGCAAGTAATAGTCACACCGATAGTAATTGGGTGATGTTAGTAGAACGCTCCACTTACTCTCGTTAGTATGACTCAAAGAATTATTGGAGAAGTAACTTTAACGAACCACAAACAAATTATTTTAATCCTGACTATGCCGTCTGAAGATGTATGTATGTATGTATGTATGTATGTATGTATGTATGTATGTATGTATGTATGTATGTATGTATGTATGTATGTATGTATGTATGATTGAGACAAAGAAGACCGAGGGAGAGAGAAGATAAATTTAAGTCTATTAGGCTACACTAAAAGAAAATGGGCAGCACTAAAAATTGGGGGTTTTCAAACTTTTAAATGGGTTCAAGGCATCAAAGCGATGTAAGGCGAATTAAGGCGAGGTAAGGCGAGGAAAGGCGATGCCTAGGCGAGCGCCTGGTCGCCTTAAGGTTTTCTAGCAAGGCGAGCAAACAAAGCGTTGCAGTGATAGCGCCTTATCGCCTAGGCGACGCCTTAAAACTATGTTCATATGCACATTTGTACACTCTTGATAAAAATATCTTTTCACGCAAAGGAATTCTTTCTTGGTCTAGGTCATTCTTGTGTTCTTATTTTCTACTGTGTTTGGCTTACTCGATAAGAGTCTCTTTTGACCAGGTCAGACCCGTCAAACCTACCCGGTTAAATTTACACCATCAACAACTTTTGTTTATGTGTACTCCCTCCGTCCCTCATTTGATTACATTTAGGAATTACGTGGTAAAATTTTGTCTTTTCAAACCATTCTATTTACAAACTGCTTCATCAATATGAAATGAAAATTACTACCTCCATCCCAGAGTATTTGTCCACTTTCATTTTTACACACCATCCAATACACTTCTTTAATCCATTTTATCTTGTAATTTGTATACAGTATTAAAAAATTATAGAAGTTATACATTAATAATCTAGATGTTAAGACAAATCAAACAAGATCACACATGACTATATTTAGGCTTACACATTGAGAGAATTTAATGAGTTAAAGTGCTTAGATGAACAATTTCAAAAGACAAAACTGGACGAGTATAGCGGGACGGAGGGAGTACATATTAAAAAACTATGTCAAAGGTTCTACAAAACAAGATGTGACAAGAATATTTTATTTTATTAACTCTATGAAAACATGCAAATAAACAAAAATTATCAAGATGGCAGCTTAAATATAGGATGTCCTATTACTGCAAGCAGATTATCCTCAACAGATTGTGATGCACTAGTGGAAAAGATCACAACTAAAATATCTGCATGGAAGACAAAACATTTGTCTTATGCTGGGAGAGCTAGACTCATACACTCTCAGTGTTGTATGGGATTATGAACTTTTGGGCTAGGATTTTAATCTTTCCTAGTAAAGCAAGAAATTACTTATGGGGGTTAGAGGAGCATTATAAAAAAAGTCCCATTGGTTAACTGGAGGGACACTTGTAAACCTAAGGCCAATGGAGGAATTGGCTTGAACAATTTAAAACTATGGAATAAAGCAATGGTGATGAATCTAAACTGGGATCGGGATAGGAAAAAAGACACTTTGTGGTTAAGATGGATACATGGAATGTACATTAAGGGGGATGATTTCTGGGGTTACAAACCCAGACATGATGCCTGCAGCTACTGGACTACTGGAGGAAAATGTTGAAAATAAGAGAGGAATTTGAAGGGATGCCAACTCAAGAGGAGTATACACCAGAAAGAGGATACAAATGGCTGTTGGGGGTCCCTTCCATATTTTTGTGCAGGTGGAGCCGGGGGTCTCTTGGAAACAGCCTCCCTACTTCCGAGTAGGGGCAAGGTCTGTACACACACCCTCCCCAGACCCTACTGTTGTGGGATTCATCTGGGTTGTTGTTGTTGTTACTACGTATTTAGTTAGTGGACAAGTCTCGGACACATCATCCATCAAGTGCCAATGTAGTGTCTCGGATAGTGTGGGTGAAGTGTTCGTGCATTGGAATCCATCCCTCATGGTCTTGGCTGATATTCCTCTTTGTTTCTGAAGTGTAATTTACATTTCGTATTAAATTAAAAACAAGATAAATATCTCTAGTATCTCTTTGTCACTGATGGTACGATCTAATGAAAAATTCTAGTGTTATTTGGAAATGTATTCTTCAAGTGTCTTAAATCTGCAGATTAAAAGTATTAAATTGTAAGTTCTTTAGGCAAAATCTCATATGCCTTTCCTTCTCCCTTTTTGAACATGTAGACTGCTTTAAAGTTTTATACTTATAATCTTCTATAATTTCTCTGCACATGCAAGGGAAAGATGGAAGTCTGTAAAAGATGTTGCAAAGATAGGGGGTTTTGCTGGATTATGGCAGTTCTCTCAAACATTCTCTAAGAAAGCTAATAATACAAAGCATGCAGAGCAGTCGGGCCCATCCCTACCACATAAAGCAGAAAAGAAAAAGGAACCAAACAACCTTACAAAGATGATGCATTCAAACAAAAAGGATCCAGAAAATCGAGAAGGCTTCAAAGACTAGCAGTGGATTATCTGATCCTTTTGGTTGCTGGAGCCTGCTTGGGAACCCATTCAAAGACAAAGGGTGACAAATTTGGATATTATGGCTACATGCATAGTGTCATTGCAATCTGTAAGTGGAACTGATTAACATAGCAAGCAATGTCACACATGAATACGATTACTCATTCTCTAGTTATGTTTCTTGTTCGCAGCACTCTTATGTAAGATTGCAACCCTGAGATCATTTACCTCAGACAAGTTAGAATACTGGAGAGAGAGATCAAGTGGTTTTAGACACGTCTTTCCGTTCAAATTTTGAAATAACAATAGCTCCATACATTTGAGGTATATGCAGTTTGCTTCCAACCCAGTCCTGCACAGTTGGTAATTAGCATTTCTCTCCATTCAAATTTTGAAACATCAATAGCCCAAATATATGTGCGTGCATTGCTTTTAACAAGTTGAGATATAATGCTATAATATATATGTAAATGTCATTGGCTTATGCTTTTTGTTTAAACAAATCACATCCTCCAAATTTCTTCATCATGCTCCCATCTTATGCCTTCTCCCCATACATATGCAGTGGTGCGTTCTTTTTTCCCGTTGTTCTGACTCTCATCGCGAACCAGGATGCGGATGACAAGGTTGGGAAGTATATAGGAAGGTTTTGTTATCCAAAGTGGGCTTTAGAAGCCTTTGTTACTGCAAATGCACAAAGGTTTGCCTTTTCCCCAGAACTTTCTTTACACACTGTAAATTATCTGTTTCCAAAGCTATCTATTAGATCAAGTCCAAGCTTCGGGTTGATTATGTTTCTTTTTCCAGATTCTCTGGAGTATGGTTGATAACCCGTTGTGGAGCATTAATGAAGCTGGGTTACGATGTTCATGATTGGACGAGATGTCTTCTTCTACGTAAACTTAAAACAATCTAATCAAATTACCAAATCAATGCTGATGTTGTTGATGACCTGGATTTGCATGCTAATCATGAAGATGAGGTCTGTTGATGCTGATTTTTAATTGTACATTTCATTGTGTTAGAATCAACATTTGTGATTTTAAATAAATTGTTATTTATAAATTTTCAGCCACTTATACTCAATGTTGATGTTGTGGATGACCTGGATTTGCATGCTAATCATGAAGATGAGGTCAGTTGATGCTGGTTTTAATTGTACGTTTCATTAAGTGTTAGAATCAACATTTGTGATTGGGAGAAATGGTTATTTATCATTTTTAGCCACTTATACTCAACATTTGATTTTTTATTGTACATTTCATTTCTTCAAACCAAGTGTTAGAATCGAAATTTGCCATTGTGAGGTATTGTTCTTTTCCTTTTCACCCACTTATGCCTTAGCTTAATGTTGTTGTTGATGCATTGAATCAGGGTGCTCTTGCTATTGTTAGTGATGACCAAGTTGACGATTTGCATTACATGTCAAAAGTTAAGTTGCATCTAATTTACTCCACAATTTTGTTGATTTATTACAGTTTTACCTTATTTTATTTTTCTTTCAATTAAGTCTGTTCTACTTAAGGATCATCATAGCTCAGACATTGTAGCTCCTCACCAAGTTTGCATTTTCATTACACATAAAAATTTCACCTAATTAACTTCACATGTGATTGTTGAGCAATTATAGTTTTACCTTAATTTATTTTTCTTTTAATTTAGCTTGTTGCACTTGATGCTCATGATTGAAAAGATATTCGAGCTCGTGACCGGCTCGAATCATATTCACTCATCTCTTTTCTAATTTTGAGTTTTCACTTTTCAACCACTTATATTCAACATTTGATTTTTTATTGTAAATTTCATTTCTTCAAACCAAGTGTTAGAATCAAAATGTGTGATTGTGAGCTATTGTTCTTTTCCTTTTTCAGCCACTCATGCAACACCTTGATGTTGTTAATGATGTATTAAATTTGGATGCTCTAACTATTGTTAGTGATGATCAGGTTGACCATTTTCATTACATGTAAAAAGTTACATCTAATTTACTCCACATTTTTGTTGAGTTATTGCAATTTTACCTCTTTTTATTTTACCTTCATTTCTGTCTATTCTACTTAATAATTACTCAATAATTATCATAGTTTCGACATAGTAGCTCCTGACCAGATTTACATTTTCATTACATATAAATTTTTTTATCCAATTTGCTTTACATGTAGTTGTTGAGTTATTGCGATTTTACCTTATTTTATTTTTCTTTTAATTTAACTTGTTCCATTTGTTGCAGCTGAATTAAAGGAAAAATAAAATAAGGTCAAACTACAATAACTCAACATGTGGAGTAGATTGGGTTGAACTTTTTATATGTAATGAAAATACAAACGTGGTCAGGAGCTACAATGTTTGAGCTATGATGATCCATAAGTAGAACAGATTGAATTAAAGGGAAAATAAAATCAGGTAAAATTGTAATAAATCAATAAAAATATGGAATAAATTAGATGCAAGTTTTTACATGTAATGAAAATGGTCATCACTAGCAATAGCAAGAGCATCCAGATGTAATGCATCAATAACAACATCAAGTTAGGACATAACTCATTAGTTGCTAAAAAAGGAAGAATAATTGCTCACAATCATAAATTGTACCACTTGGTTTGAAGAAATGAAATGTACAATCAAAAATCAAATGTTGAGTATAAGTGGCTAAAAATGAAAATAACAATAACTCAAAATCTAATATTAGAAAAGAGATAGTGAAAATGATTTAACCTGGTCAGGACTCTCAGGAGCTGGAATATCTTTTCCATCAAGTGTAATAAGTTAAATTAAAGGAAAAATAAAATATGGTAAAACTACAATAACTCAACAATCACATGTGGAGTAAATTAGGTGGAACTTTTTATATGTAATGAAAATATAAAGGTGGTCAGGAGCTACAATGTCTGAGCTATGATGATTCTTAAGTACAATAGACAAAATTGAAGGGAAAATAAAACAAGATAAGACAAAAATGTGAAGTAAATTAGATCAAATTTTTTACATGTAATGAAAATGGTCATCACTAATAACAACAAGAGCACCCAGATTCAATGCATCATCAACGACATCAAGTTAGGACATAAGTGACTGAAAAAGGAAAACAACAACAGCTCAAAATCACAAATTTTAATTCCTACACATGGTTTGAAGAAATAAATGTACAATCACAAATCAAAAATCACAAATTTTGATTCCTACACATGGTCCTTTGTAATAAGAGGTTTTTCCCAACTCAGCCCTTTATAAGTTTTAATTGCCCATATGGTCCTATATAATTCAGATTTATTCCCAAGATAGTCCTTCGTAAATAATGTTACTTAAATGATTATTAATTAGGAGATATTTTTGTATTCTGATCATCCAAATTTAAATTATATTTTCGATACAATTATTTCTCTACAGCTAAATGTAAAATTGAAAAAAACATTGACTATAAATAATACATGAATTATTTAAAACTTATAAAAAAATCTTTTAAATTTCAATTCAATTACACATCTTTAATTAGAAAGAAGTATTTTGGAAAGAACTTCATTATAAAAGATCATTTTCAGAATTAATTATAAATTTAGCGGATAAAAAATAATAAAATATCCTCAATTAATGAGTAAATTCCATAATTGGTCTTTTATAACAGGGAGTTTCCCTATTTAGTCATCTATTATCAAATATTATCATAGTGGTTCTTCTTTTATAAGTATCTTTCCACAAATAGTCTTTTTTTATCTTTTATCATGTTAGAGTTAATTTGAGGGCTAAAAGTGTAATTTTAACAATGATAATATATCTTTTTTGTCATACACAATTCAAAAGGTTGTTCTGTTTGCATCGTTTGTGAATTACATTCACTTTCTACTACAACTATGGTCTACAAATGTAGTCTTTCGTCGGAATCCTAGCTCACAGTCATAGTCATTATTTTTGTGTTATCCGTTTAACTAATATCAAAACACGTCACTAGACATAATGTTGATGTCTAATTATACTTTTAGCCTTTAAATTAACAACCACATGGCGGAAGATAAAAAAAGACCATTTGTGGAAAGGCACTCTTAAAAAAAGACTACGAGGGTAATATTTGATAATAGGGGACTAAATATGGAAATCTCCATGTTATAAAGGATCAATTATGGAATTTACTCTCAATTAATCCTCATTTGACTAATATTATTTATGAAGGACCATCCTGGGAATAAATTTCAATTATAGAGGACCAAATAAGTAATTAAAACATATTGAGAACTGATTTGAGAATGCACCTTATTACAAAGGACTATTTTGGAAATTTACTCTTAGAGTTAACAAAAATGGTGCAGAAGTTTTAAAGTACTTAAATCAAAATATGATTATTGTTCTTGCCCTTTAAACATAATTAATTCAAATGCAATATTAAATAACTAAATTCCTCCAGCTAGCATCCATCCATCCATCTTGTTACCTTATTCCTCCAAGACTCTCTCCTTATTCATCAATCTTGTTACCTACGTGTAGGCGTGTAGCAAATAAGAAAAATAGCTACACGGTCAGCATTGAAACTAACTGAGTAATATCTAACAATTCGACTACGCACATAGACGAATATGATGCACACAAGTACACATCGATAATATTTTTAATATTAAATAATTCATAAATCAAACATACTTACTGGGATTACCAAACTTATTTCATTCTTAACTTAGGCATTTATGACACATAATCCTTATGCAAACCTCATTATCAACTTCCTTACTTCTAAGCTCATAACCTATCCTAGACTAAGAATCATTCTTTATTCTAGTCTTGATTTAACCACGCCCATGGAAAAACCCGTTGATACGATGTCATCTAACGTTGATTGGGTGGGACCACCTAGTCACATCCATAAGTAGATCTACAACACCCGTGTGCACGCTCTACCCAAATGATCATGTGTCCGCGCTGGCTAATCACATGACCAGTTATTCCTAATTGTATTCTTATTCTGTTTCTTGGTCTACCAATAGTCCAGCTGTATAGCCTATCCGTATTCAAATTCATAATTTCATATTTTCAAATTTGTACGAGCAACAACATATTAGATACACCTTAACTCTCACCACCATATTAGATATACATTTTAGTGAGTTTCCATTCTCAATATCTAGTTGTGTTAGGAGTCTCTCATATATATATACTCTACCATGTACTCCATAATTCAATGAGCAATATTATTATTCCAATATTTCAACATCTTCTACTCCCTCCGCCCAGGATCAATCGTCTCACATGAATGAGTTGGAACCATTCCATATACTCAAAAGTTCAAACCTTAGGCACATGAATGAGTTTCTACGATATCAAGCTCTTAATATAGGTTGGTTGAGGCCTTTGCACTTAGACTGTTCACAAACTCATTTCATAATACTTTCTTATATTGGATTTTATCCTTATAAGAATATTTTTGCTTGAGATATCATGTTTTACACCATAAAAGTTACTACTCTTCCCTTATGAACTGAAAATTTCTTTACTATTTAGAGTTACTGAAGGGTCTTTATTTTCTTATAATGACTTGCTCCCATATGCATTTGTTTCCTATTTTCAATTTCTTCCATATGGACTGAGCATAATATGCTAACTATGGCTGGGATATGCTCAAATTTTAAGAATATGATTTATCCCTGGGAGATGCTCTTACATGTGTTATTTTATGCTTTATGAGCATAATATGCTAACTATGGCTGTGTTTACCATTGTGATCGGAAAGTGCTTAACCACAATTTGACATCATTGATTTCATGCGTATTAGTAATTGAACAAGTTAAAACTTTTTACTTTTTTTGTTTTACAATCTGCTTCATTTTAATTTTTTAAAAGGACACCTAAAAAAACCCATAACAAATAAAATTAAAAGATAATCCTTAACAGAAAGTATGATATATGTGTACGTGTGTGTGCATATATATAATTATATATGCATGATCTCTCTTCCTTGATTTGTTTTATGTTTTATGAGTTTCATTTTCTTTTAGATTTGTATTATGTTTTATGCAATTACTTATATATTCTTCTTTTTCTCAGTGTGGACACCGCCAAGTGCACGAGGGAATCACAAGAAGAATGAGAAGCTTTGTTCGGGCAAGATGATTTGCTACTACTATATATGTTTAAACTTAATAATAGTAGAAAACTGAGACTAAGTTTAAAGAGCACTTGGTTCCCCTAAAATATATGGGAGAATTGAAGTGCTAATCAATATGGTGAGGTTATTGATATTGAATCCATAAGCATTCAAAAGTAGTAATGTCACAATACCAATGTACGCAACAATAGTGGAAAGATTGGAACATTTGTTGGATCATTTTTTACTAAATTAGTATTCGCTCACAGTTAACTTTATATTCTCTCCGTCCCATTTTATAATGCTTGTTTCGGTTTACGATGTTTGATTGAAATTATTTTTAAATCATTTTATATGACAAATGGTATAGAGTTTAAAAATAAAAATTACATATTAAAATACTACATCAAAAGATCTACAAAATTAGTAGTGACAATAGTACTTTATTTTATCAAATTGCTAACAAAAATAGAGAAAAAAGTAAATAAAGTTTGACCTTGTGAATAGTAAGTAGTAACCCTTGCAGCCTCACTAAAAATGTCGTATACCCCAATGTTTGGGCGTGAAATAAAATTCTCATGTCTCCGTCCCAACTCCCTCCCACAACTCATCTTTTGACACATTATCCAACCCATCCTTAAATTAATATAAACTCACTTTTGAAGGGTGATGGAAAGGGGGTGTATGCTCATGTGTAGGGTGAGTTTAAGGGTGGGGTGGATGTTTTGTCAAAACATGAGTGGGAAGACATGGGGAGGAGACAGAGGACCCCAAGCACCAAAGTTTTCCAAAAGATTTGGATTTAAACCATACATTTACCCTTTTTAGATTTGTATATAGATATATTTCAATCAGCAAATGTATATGGTGTGTCATTTGTTAAATTTTAAAGGTTAATATTATTTTTCTCTCGATTCTTTAGTAATATTTGTTCCACCCATGTGTGGCACGGGTTAAAATACTAGTTATTGTATAATTGTGAGTTACATTTCAAATTATATGGAGTACTCTGCATTTTTAAGCCATACAACTATACAAGAGTTGTGGTTTTATACGACAATCTACCTACCTATACACGCACACAGATCATTCTATATGTACAACACATATATGCCTTTTGCTGCATCAAACTATGGGGACTTCCACTTCTTCCTCTTCTTCACAGCACTCGGGAGGAGAACCTACAAATGAAAACAATGTTACAACGTAAGAAAACTGAAGTCAGAACGAAGACGTGTGACTAATTAGAGTGTGACACTAATTGATTACCTGCTTTGGGATGTATGGAGTTGTAATGCACCTCAGCCCAAAAACTTAAATAAACGACTGCACAGATATTTAAAAAAGTGTCTAAATGAACGTTTAATGTGAACTCCATTGGTGATTTTTTAGTTTAGTCGATTATTTGCCCAAAGTTATGACTTGTGAATAATGACTTTTTTTTAGCTTCTTTGGTAATGGACTGTAAAGAAAAAGAACTATAATGGTCTAAAACTTATGGTATATCATATATTCTCCAAATTAACAAAACAAATCCGGGCATCGATGGGCACGAAAGAGAGCATAGCTATACATAAAAGGTTCAGAAATAACCTTTTTCCGATATTTGTTTCTTGGGAAGAATCTCAAGGAAACATGTGTCCTTGAATGATGTTATGACAAGAACTCTCACACCATACTATCAAATTTATAATTGAAGATATATTAGAAGTAGTCTGAAACAAAAAAATAAACCTCCCTCACACGCAGGGAATTTAAGCAACGTGGTACTCCCTCTGTCCCTAAAAACATGAGAGGTTTTGATTTTTAAGGGATTTAAGGAGAGTGTATTTTAGTGTTGCGCTTCCAAAAAATATCTTTTGATGTGATGGGTAGATTAAAAGTGAATAGATGTGATGTGATAGGTAAGTTAAGAATTAGTAGGGTTAAAAGTGACTTTTTAATAGAATTGAGAAAAAGTTTTTTGGGACGAATGAAAAAAGAAAGGAAAAAGATTTTCAGAAACTGAGGGAGCAATATATTTTAATTACCAAGTCTGCAGTGGCCTGCAACGTGACATGATCCCCCCAGACCCCACTCCTGCAACAATTGGTATAAGTAGAGGAAAGGGTAAAGGAGAAATAACAAAACAAATGTAAATACACAAAGAGGGGTTTGATTGAATTTAACTCTGACATCCTCTTCAGATAGTCATCATATGCCATGGGAATGTATCCCTTGTACCTCTTTGGGTGACTTTTAAGCTGATGGAAACCAAACGATTACAAGTCAAAATGGGGAAAACGGCTGCATTGGGACAATAAGTCGCAAGGGATAATAATGTCGCAAGCAAAGTATAATTGCAGACAGATAGATAGATCACCTGGTTAACAACATGCTGCCTCACACAATTGTGCCATTCAGGAGTACCATAAATTTGATCTGATAAAGCACGAAACTGAACAAAAAGGTGAAGAAAGGCTTTCTACTTGGAAGAATGTTAGCATTAATTCTCAATTTATCCGAATATATAGAACCAATGAAGCATAGTTTCGAAAATCGCATACTCAGATCTACTACATTGTTCAACCACCAAATGTTTACAAGGAGCATATCATTTTATATTTTTGACATACCATGCTTGTCTGCCTATTTACTAAGCTAACCAGTACACCCACTCCCCTAATGTCTCAATGAAGGCATATAAAGCCGAACAAGTGTATGCCGGAGGGTATTCAAAACCCACCATTTCAATTCAATTTGTTTGATAAAAAGTGTAAATTTTAAAAATAAAATTTATATACTCCGGTATTTAAAAACCAAATCAAAAGTATGGTGTATTGGAATAAAGTAACCTTGTCATTAAAAAATTGGGAAATAATCATGGGATGGTGAGAACCAAATTGCATCCATATAAACATGGAGGCGATGGATCCAATGATCCTCAAGAAAAAAGCATGGTGTATTGAAATAAAAGAAGTTATCCTCAATACTAAATTGCGATTACATGTAGTAATGAGCTAAATTGGAAATAACCTGGCAGTTGCCATCCCCTTCAATTTGGTGCTCAACAAAACCATTTTGCAGTAATCTGAAACCAGAAACACCAATATGTACTACATGCAATATGAATCTGATTGAGAAGATACATTGAATGGACAGTTTTCCCACGAGTCAAGAATATTTTCGCGGAATGTTTCACTATCCAAAATATAATTAATACAAAAGGACAACAACTTGTGAAAAACACCAGTTTAGGGTAGTGGCATCTTTGTTGATTTGACTGTCATTATGATGCAAGTGTTTCAAATTCATTTTATGTAAAAATATAAATGAAAATAAAAAGGAAGCATACTACATTAACATCCATGCAAAATGTGAGTTTTTTTAAGGACAGAGCTTTCTTCTAATACAAAAAGGTGGAATCACATAGCATTGCAAATTACAAATGATGTTCTTCATCTAAAAAGCTAGGATATATGGAGTAATCATTTTAGTCGGTGAGAAAGATCTTTGAAAGAGTATATGCTTAATTCCAAAACATCCAGCTGAATCAAGAAAACTGATAGGCCATATTTTCATCATCATGAAAGATCGAATATCATGTATACAAGATCTATTGCATCACACATGTTTCTATAGTATCACAAGTCCTTTGAGGGAAAACCACTACCTTTTTTTCAGCCTTTCATGATCAGAAGTTTCTTCGTTTCCTGAAGGTACATCTCCATTTGCTCGAGCAGTGTGCTGCATGAACACAACAACAACTCAAATTCATTCAAAACCACTAATGTCTAATTCAAATTCCAAAGAAACAAGAAAGTGTTCCAAAGTAAAAGGGGACACGGTTAAGACATTTAGACCAAACTGAAGTACAGATCACTGCTTTTTAAGCCAATGTTTAAATTGACCCGGAACTGTTTTCCAATGGTCTTTTTTTAAGATTTATCATACCAGATACTTTTGAAAATTACTAGCACGGTTAAGAGTAATTTCATATCAAACTTTATTCATTAAAAGTACAAGTACTCTATGTCATTTTCTTAGCTCCTCCTCTTTTTATCAACCTAATTTCGAACTATATTCTTTCATACACAGCTTGCAAATAGGTATACGTGCATAAATCTATGAGCGTTTTGTAATATTTCTTTAAGATTGCATTATCATATTACACACACCATTGGTTCTATAAACTCTTGAGATATACTTTGTAGGGTGGTGTAGCCGTGTAGTTACTCCTATTCTTACTTCAGATCTCCACAGTAAAGGTTTTTGCTTCTAAATCCTCATCCTAAGGCTTATGGTAATCTTGTGAAAACCAGGTGTATAGTTTGTTAGTCATCCGGCAAAACTTATGTTCCTATAGAATTGTTTACCAAACCTAGTTGCGGTCCCGCATTAAGTTCAAGAGGGCAAAAACATAATAGATTGTGTAATGCCTGAGTAGGAATCTTCAACCACTCTACAATACGGTGCGGTGCCAATTATTTTTGGCATCTACTTATTTATGTATTTTACCTTGAAATGCTAGAGTCACAAACTAAATGGTCACATAATTTTGGACCTCATTAAGAGCACAAAATGATTTTAAATAACTAAAAAGTAAAAAATTTATAGTCACAAATAGTAAGTTTGTAATATTTGTGACCGTTTAGTTTGTGACTCTAGCATTTCTCAACAAACAATTGTACACTAAGCACAAATTTTAATGGTGGTGATTAGGTATGATAAAGAAGCAACAACCTATTGAAATCCCACAAAAAGGAGTGTAAGAGGTGAGTGTGTGCAGGCCTTACTCCTACCCCATAGAGGTAGAACAACCAAAGATTAAGGGCAATAACAGATCAGATATGAAAACCCATATTTTAAAACCAAACATACATTTAGAGCAATAATTTGTGTTAATTGCCTGACAACTTTTCCATCAGTCTCATGGCTTGATAAATCTCCTGGACTAGAGCGAGGACTTGAAGAGTCCTTATCATCAATGCCAGCCGAAACATCACTATGTCCTGCAAATTTTCAGAACTCTTGGCATCAACACAATGTTCAGAACATGTAGATACTAGAGAGCATCATCGCACACAGATAATGCCAGTATGATCATAATAGACACAAGTGGAGGTAAGGAGCCATGAACATGTATCAAGAACCCTGGTGCTAGTCTGAT